CACTTCCTGGGAGAGTTTAAGAAGAATTGGTATCAATTCTCCTTTAAATGTTTGGTAGAATTCCCCAATGACACCATGCGGTCCTGAGCTTTTCTTTGCTAGATTTTAGATTACTGATTAAACTTCCTTACTGCTTGTGGGTCTGCTCAGATTTTCTATTTCTTCATTATTTGGTCTTGGTATGTTTCCAGAAATCTATCAGTTACAGGTTAGCTAATATGATGGCATATAATTGTTCATAATAGCCACTTTGATCCTTGGTATTTCTGTGGCATCAGTTGCAATGTCTCCTTTTTCATTTATGACTTTAGTTGAGTCAGTCCACTCTCTTTTTCCTCAGCCTAGCTAAGGGTTTGTCAACTTTATTGATCTTACAATCTTTTCAAAATACCAACTATTAGTTTCTCAAATTTTTTCTATTACTTTCCTATGTTGTTTATTTCTGCTTTATATTATTTCCAAGACCCCTATTTGTTTTTGGAAAGTTTTACAAGATTTACCTACAAGCACAGGTTCCTAAGCCAGTTTTTTCCAATTTATTTTCTTGCATTCCACAGTAAAAAAAAAAAAAAAAAAAGCATTTCACAGTAAACAGACTCATACACACATGAGACTTAAAAAAAAGTCCAGGCTGGGTGGAGTGGCTCACACCTGTAATCACAACACTTCAGGAGGCCAAGGCAGGTGGGTCACCTGAGGTCAGGAATTCGAGACCAGCTTGGCTAACATGGTGAAACCCTCGTCTCTACTAAAAATACAAAAATTAGCCAGGCATGGTGGTAGGCACCTGTAATCCCAGTTACTTGGAAGGCTGAGGCAGGAGAATTGCTTGAACTCAGGAGGCGGAGATTGCAGTAAGCCGAGATCATGCCACTGCACTCCAGCCTGTGCAACAGAGTGAGACTCCGTCACAAAAAAAAGAAGTCCATAAAATACTTACCCTTAATAAGTTTACACTGCTCTTACTTTTAATCCATAATTCTTCACTTTTTTAAAATTTAAGGCTTTTAAAATTCTTATAATTTAAAATCAATTTATTCACTAAGCTGATTTCACTTGAATAAAAGTTTAAAAATACTATTCTAAACAGTATATTCAACATCAGAAATGTATACAACAGGCATAGAACACATTATCTGTTTCAAATAATTTTTAATTCTTCTTGTGGAGCAAGGTAAAAGAGAAAACATGAGTAAAAATTGGAAGATTATTCTTTGGCAGAATAAAATTAGAATAAAATTGAAAATACACCCAGTCCTTTCCACACTTTCAAGGGTCTTCCCACTTCCAATGTCAATCATAAGCACAGTACAATTGGCCTTCCATATCTGTGAGTTCCGTATCTATGGATTCAACCAACCCACAGATGGAAAATATTCAGTTAAAAAAATTGTGTCTGTACTGAACATGTACAGATTTTTCCTTGTTATTATTCCCTAAACAATATAGTCTAACAAATATTTACCTAGCATTTATATTGTATTAGGTATAAGTAATCTAGAGATGATATAAAGTATAAAGGAGGATGTACATAGGTTATATGCAAATACTGCCATTTTATATCAGAGACTTAAACATCCTCAAATTGTGGTATCCAAGGAAGGTCTTGGAACCAATTCCCCAGGGACACTGAGGGTCAACTGCATTTGCAAATAAGAAACCAAGAAATGTCTTTCTCCTGCATAGGAGCTTCACTTTAAAACAGATTCAACACATACAACAGCCCAGAGGCACTGTGTGATATAATAACATAAAAAATTATACTTGGAGAGCTGAGAAATACCTTCATATTTTAAAAACTATAAAATCTGCTAATGAACCACAACTGATCCTGCTGCAGTTTTCTTAATGCATCCTTCCGTAAATGCACTTGCACTAGTTATTATAATACAATGATATATTTCACACTTGAAAACACAAAATAATTCCTATATCTGCTTGGAGAGTCATTCTTACTTCTATTCAAACCAGGTTACACAAAATACACATTACAATTTAAGTTAACAGAATAAGACAATAATTTCTAAATTTAAAGTCTATAGTGAAAGAAAATACAGATTGTCTTTCTAACATATCTGGACTAAAGAAAAATAAGCTTTGAACCCAGGGAGATACTCATTGAGAGACCTCACATAGATAGACCTCACTAAAAGGCATGTAAGAAACAGAATCACTAGCAGAGAGCAGAATGAGAAGTCGAACAGCTCTATTCAAACTGCCAAACTGTACCATGCATATGGTGATGTCTTCTTCACTGTGAAACTCTATCCTCACCCCATATGCAATGCACAGCTGTACTACAATCTTCAGATCACTGTTTTTCTTTAGTATCTGATTTTATTGTTTCTTTCTCTTCACCATCTGTCACTTATTGCTACTCTAGGCCGATCTATTTCTCTTAACCTAAAGAGCATTGCAAATTCCAGGGTGTCCAAATTACATACAAAGTAACAACAAAAGGCTTCTAAGTAAGGATCTGAGGTGTTTCCTAATTGAGCCAAGTATATGAACTTTAACACATGAACTTTATATTTTAGCCATTTACCATATCTTATTTGCTCACCTGTCAAATAAGTTGACTTAACTCACTTGACTATTTTATGTTCAAAATAGTAACATCTCATCTGAGTCTCCCAACAACCCTATGAAGTGGAAGGATTACTAGTCCAATTCTACAAATGAGAAAACTGAAGCAACAAAGGTGTTAAATTATGTGTCCACCAAGGCCAAAGGACTAGAATATGGCTGAAGATTATCTAGATTCTAATCTAGATACTCTGAGATCAACGTCTGTGTTCATAAATGCCTATGGCAATATGAATATATCAGTGTGGTTAGTACTACCCACTTAAATAATTTTAACAATCATATGGGGAAAAAAATACAGAAATAACTATCTCAATTACTTGATGTCTAGGAGATAAGAAGCCCTAACTGCCTTCTTTCAGTTCTCCAAAAGCTACTCTGAAAGACCTAACTGAGGCAAAGAAATTAAAAGCCAAAGGAACACCAATGGGTCAACAAAGCTGATGGGAACTTTTCAAGGGTCTAGCCTCATCTAGCATTACACTGAGCCTATCCTATAGTGGATCCAAACACAAGACTCTCCATTGCTATTTGAAGACTTACTTGCCAAGGATGACTCAGGAGTTTGATGACTCAAACTCCTTTTGAGATGTAGTTCTAAATATCTCTGAATGCCTACAGAATACTTGTATATTTTAGCTTTCAATAAATATTCCTTGAGTAAATACGAGGTGGGTATTCCATGCTCTCTGCTGCCATACCAAACTATAAGCTTTTCTGACTCTGCATCATACCTACAGCTCCTTGAAAGCAAGAAATAACTTATTATTTTCAGAGTCTCAATACCCAGCACCATTCCTGGCACATGTGGCATTCAATAAATGTTTGGTAAATAAATGAGCACAAAAGCACATGTGCCTGGCACAAAGCAGTATCAATTCAGATGTTTCTTAATTTGAGGTTGTGATTGTGTGTGTGCGTGTGTGTGTGTAAATGGTATATGTATTCTTGAACGAAGTCAAGAATTCCTTTGGCCAGGTACAGTGGATCCTGCCTGTAACCCAAGGACTTGTGGGAGGATCACGTAAGTCCAAGAGTTCAAGACCAGCCTGGGCAACACAGCAAGACTCTATCTCTACAAAAAAATTTTTTTAATTAGCTGGGCATGGTGGCACACGTCTATAGTCCTAGCTACTTAGGAGACTGAGGTAGGAGGATCACTTGAGCCCAGGAGTTTGCAGTTACAGTGAACTAAGACCAAGCCAATGCACTCCATCCTGGGCAACAGAACAAGACTTTATTTCTTAAAAGAAAACAAAACAAAAGAAACAAATGTTATATCTTATCTTTGGACTCAACTCACTAGCTATTTTCCTACTAAAGCAAACATTTCTCGATTTATATATATATGATACATATACATTTATAGAAAGAGACCTTATGTGCAAACTAATGATAACAGCAAATTAAACTAGAGCCAGATATAAGCCCCCCATCCAATAGCTACTTCATTCTTGTAAACCATAAGTTCCTGCCACCATCAAAGAAATGATACTCTGTATTTTTAAAGTACTAGCCATTTTCACAGATGGGAAATATGTAGACATAATCCAATTATGAGAAATGATTAAGAGATGTAAGACTATGACTGTTTGTTAGATTATAAAAACCTCATACAGTGCCCTAATCTGAAAATCTGCAACCCAAAATGCTCCCAAATCCAAAACGTTCTGATCACTGGCATGACACTCAAAGGAAATGCACATTGGAGCATTTCAGATTTCAGATTTTCAGGTTAGGGATGCTCAAATGTTAAATATAATACAAATATTCAAAAATTTTTTTAAATTCAAAATAAAAATCACTTCTGGTCCCAAGCATTTCAGATAAGGGCTACTCAACCTGTAGCATGTTGGATTTAACAAACTGTACATGGCAATATAATTTAAATTTGTACCCTACAAAATGAATGAAGCACTGGGCTAAGTGCTTGTATACAGCATCTCTCCTAACCTTTGCAACAACTCTTCAAGGTGTATATAACTGTTACCACCATTTTACAGACGAATAAATGAATACTCAAGGTTGTACATCTAGCTAATAAGTATAGAAACCAGAATATACACCCAGCTTTAACTAATACCTGAGTTATTAGCTACTCACAACTCTATCCCACAGTACACCCTCAACAAAGCAAAAATTTTCTAAATAATAACTGCGTAACTCTAACATTGTAATAACACAACATACTTGGTTTTAACTACTATATCATTTTGAGAAGGAAAACTTACTGGCTTCATAAACTCCACACCTTAACCACTGAAATCTTGAATCATATGAGGGCTATTTATCACTAATATCCTTTTCCTGAAAAATCATACTTTGCCCCTCCACTGCCATGAAAAACACCGTTGGCACCCACAGCAATGTTCTGTATAAAATCTGCCACACCTATTAGTGGCAATGATCACTACCTTAGGTGACTCTGGAGTCTCAGAAGACTTGAACACTCTAATACAAGTTCTAAAAGTTTATGTAAGATCCACCACACCAAACGCTGAGTAAAACCATCTAGAAAAAAAAAAGAAAATTATATGATTAAATATAGTTAAATGTCTCTCTACATGGAACAGCTATTTGAGAAGATCAATTGTATGCTATTTTTGTTCCAAAAGAGCAAGGTTTGCAGATTTTATTTGTTTAAGCAAAACATCAAAACTGAAGAAACCAAAATGTCCCATTTTTCTCAACACTGAAAGACAATCAGGCAAGAGAAGTTCATTCACCGTAACTTACATATTACGATATTTTTTCCTTTTCCCTTTTTCTGACTTACCTCCATGGCCTCAATGAATTTTGGGCCATACAAACATAAATGGTAATTATTAAAGTAAACCAAGGGTCCTTTCTTCTACTCTCCCCCTCTGAAGAAAGGAAGGAAACTTGGAGGTTCTATAGAAACATACCAAGATTTCTACTGGATACATTCCAAGTCTTCCCTCTTCCTCACTCTATATTCAATCAATGGAAAAGTTCCACTGATCTTTATACCTGAATCTCTCTCTCTCTCTTTTTTTGTTTTTTTGAGATGGAGTTTCGCTTTTGTTACCCAGGCTGGAGTGCAATGGCGCAATCTCGGCTCACCGCAACCTCCGCCTCCTGGGTTCAGGCAATTCTCCTGCCTCAGCCTCCTAAGTAGCTGGGATTACAGGCACACGCCACCATGCCCAGCTAATTTTTTGTATTTTTAGTAGAGATGGGTTTGACCAGGATGGTCTAGATCTCTTGACCTTGTGATTCACCCGCCTCGGCCTCCCAAAGTGCTGGGATTACAGGCTTGAGCCACTGCGCCCGGCCTCTGAGTATCTCTTTAATTTGCCTGGTTGTCCCTATCTCTAACGCCACTACTCCAGGTTAAACCAACACATACAAATGCCTGGATTACTAAGGTAACCTATCTAACTAGTCTCAGTGACAGCTTTGCTTCTTTCCATTCATTCTTCACCTTCCATCCAAAATGACTCTTTCAAAACCATAACTTACAAATTAAGAACTACTCAGATGTCATCCTCCCTAAAGTCTTTCAATGACTTTTTATCATTTTCATGATAAAATTATGGCTTAACATGGCTTAGAAGACTCTAACCTGGCTCCAAACAATTTCTCCAGTCTTACATTTGGTCACTTCTGTCTTCATATGCTTTATAGCCACATGGCTCTTCTTTCAGATTTCAAACTCTTCATATTGGTTTTGTGGGGTTTTTATTTGTTCTGCATCTTAGCTATTGCACAATCTCTTCCCTCCACCTACTCTACTTCCCCACACCCTCCTAATTTAACCTAATTCCTATGTAACCTATTTAGATCTGTATCACAGCTCTTTCTCTGAGAAGCCTTACCTAATCATTCCAGATAAGACTGGGTGCCTCCTTCCATATACCTCTGCTACTACCGCTCTTATCATTACTTTAGTATAATTACTTCTTTAATTATCCAGTCTTCCTCATTAAAGTATATTTTTATTAGAGAAGGGATTATTATGGGTACTTGCCCACCCCTACATACCCTAACACTAAGCACAGTGCCTAGACACATAGCACAGACTTGACTTTTTTTAATTGAATAAGTGCACAAACAAAAATGAAAATTTGGAGGAAAAAACTGAAAGAAACAGATTTAAAAGATATTTTAAGCATCAAAAATTCCATATGAATACACATCCTCAATAAATAAAAGGGACTTCTAGATTCCGCTTAGGATGTAGAAAGCTAGAAAGAATGTCATTTCACCCTTCGAACAAAGTAAAAGATGAATATTGTGCAAAATCACAAATTTTCTTGAACCCAGCACAAAAGTAGGGAAACCTTAAATCTAAGTAACTAATCTAAAATCTAAGGAAAGACAGGATTTTAAAGGGAGAGATGGGACATGAGTACTTTACCTGTAGTAAATATCAGTCAGACACCATACAAGCCAATAAAAACTTGGTTAAAACTCTTTTAAAAAATTACTATAAGCCAAATGTGAACCCGCAGGGAAGTAAACAAAACAAACAAAAAAACCCTTTACTCCTCCCTTAAATTAAAGTAGGGGCAGGATCTCTGAAAAAGCCCCATACCTGAGACCCAGAAAAGAAACAAAAACACCTAGCTAAAACTGAGACTGGAAAAATCCAACATAAAATGTCCTCCCTACTCCAACCAAAAGGAGACTAGCAAGCCTCAAACAACATGTAACAGCAATGCACTACAGTCACGGGTCACATAATGACAGGGATACAGTCTAAGAAATGCATCATTAGATTATTTTACCATGAGAATATCACAGAGTATACTTACACAAAGACAGGATAGCCTGGCTATAAACCTGTACAGCATGTTACTGTGCTGAATACTGTAGGCAACTGCAACACAATCATTATTTTATCTAAACATAGAAAGGTCCAGTTAAAATATGGTATTATCATCTTAGGGGACCATCATCGTATATGCAGTCTGCTGCTGACCAAAACATTGTTATGTGACGCATGACTGTTCATGAGCAAAGAGCTAAAGAATGGAGAAATACCTTCTCTGAGATGCAAGTTCAAAGGGAAGACCTAAACCTAAGGGTGGAGTAGACATTAAGAAAAAGTCTGGCAAACTAAATCCAACCCTAAACACAAAGTAATGCTAGAGAAACTTGAAGCCTATGGTAAATTAAAGGTAAACTAGCAACACCAAAAACCCTCAACACTACTCCCCACCACACACACACACACACACACACACACACACACATCTCAGGAAAAGACAAAGCATGTCCATTTCCAGGCATAAGTACTATTTAACTGGTTCTCTATATCAAATGTCCAGATTTCAACAACAACAATAACAACAACAACAAAAAGGAGCAAAGAAAAAAACAAAACAAAACACAAAACTGCACTGTCAAGAGACAAAGCAATCAATAGAACCAGATTCGGATACAACCATCATGTTAGAACTATCAAACGTGGAATTTATATGTTAAATGCTATAATGAAAAATGTAGGTAACATGCACACACAAAAATGTAATTTAAGCAGAGGGATGGAAACAATAAGAAGAAATCAAGTGAAAATGTAGTAACAGAGATTAAAGCCTTCAACAACCTTATCAGTAGACCAAGACAATCACAGAATCAGTAAAGACATCAACAGAAACTACTCCAACAAAACATGACAAGAGAATGAAAAACAGAGAACATCCAAGTGCTATGAGACAATATAAAATACGCTAGCATATGTGTAACTGGAATTCCAGAAAGAAGGATAAGACAGAAACAAAATACAAAGAGATAATAACCAAAATTTTTCAAAATTAATAAAGTACATCAAACGACTCCAAGAAGCTCACAGAACACTAAGATGCATCAAATAAACAAACAACAACAAAAATCCACAATTAGACACATCATATTCAAACCGATGAGGGAAAAAAATAAAAGAGAAAACCTTGAAGCCTGCCAGAGTTAAAAAAAAAAAAATGGTACAACACAGTGGAACAGGATAAGACCTTTCAGAAACTATGCAAACCAGACACCATTAAAGTGCTGAAAGAAAAAACTGTCAATGCAGAAATCTATATCCACAAAAATATCTTTCAAATTGAAGAAGAAATAAAAAATGTTCAGGCAAAATGTAATTCACATAATAAAAGACTAACAAAAATAAAACACATGATTATCTCAAGAGATGTGCTTAAAATATTTGACAAAATTCAACATCCATCCAGTAAACTAGGAATAGAACTTCCTCATCCTGATAAATCGTATCTACAAAAAAAAAGCAAAGCAATAAAAACCAACAGCTTATATTATACTTGATGAAAAACCAGTGCTTTCCCCCATAAGATGCAAAAACAAAGAAAAGACGATCACACTTGCCACTTCTATTTGACATTAAAATTGAGGTTTTAGCCGGTGCAGCAAGGGAGAAGAAAATATAAAAGACATCCAGATTAGATGAAAGAAGTAATACTGTCTTTATCTGCAGACAACATAATCTTCTGCATAGAAATCTCATAGAATCTATAACAAAGCTACTAGAACTAAATAAGTTTAGCAAGGTCATAAGGATACAAGCAGTTCTATATGCTATCAGTGGGAAAAAAAATCCTGAAAATGGAAGAGTATAATTTACATTAGCACCCAAAAACATGAAACACTTAGTCATAAATCTAACAGAGTATAGAATCTATGCTGAAAACTAAAATACATTGATAAAAGACATCAAAAATCTAAAGACAGATCATAAATGAGATGCCTCAATATTTAGGATGTCAATTCTCCCCAAAATGATCTTCAGAATTAAATCAGAATCAATCCAGAAGGACTTCCTAAAGAAATTAAGAAACTAATTCTAAAATGGATAGGAAGAGGCATAGGAACTGGAATTGCCAAAATAACTTTGAAAAGGGACAAAGGTGGAGAACTCACACTACCTGACTTCAAGTTTACTATAAAGCTACAATAATCAGGTAAGTGTCATATTGGAGAAAGGGCAAATATATAGATGAATGAAATGCAGTAAGAGTCCAGAAATAGACTCACACTTGTATAAACAATTGATTTTCAAGAAAGGTATAAAGGAAATTCTATGAAAAAGAGAGCTTTTCCAAAAAATGGTGCCAAAATAAGTGGAAATTCATTTGGAACAACAAAAACTGTATCCATACCTCACACCATATATAAAAACTAACAAAATGAATCACAGATCTAAATGTAAAACTACAATTTTAACACTTCTATATGTAAATATGGAAAAAGATCTTTGTCATTTTTGGTTTTGCTAAGGTTTCTTAGATATAACATCAAAAGCATGATCCATAAAATAAAATAATGTAAAAATCAATAAGTTCAACTTCATCAACATTCAAACTTCTGCTCTTCAAAGACATGTAAGAGAATAAAAACCAGAGAAAATATTTGCAAATCACATCTATGATAAAGAACTTTCATCCAGAATCTCAAAACTCAGTGCCAAAAAAAACCAAAATAATTTGAAGAATATTTCACCAAAGATATAAGGATGGCAAAAAAGATGCTCAAAAGCATTTATCATTAGAGATATACAATTCCATTTACACAACGTTCTGGAAAACACAAAACTATGGAGACAGAAAACATGCCACTGGTTGCCAAAAGCTTGGGATCAAGTAAGGGGCTGACCATAAAGTGACAAGGGAATTTTCTGGATTGATGGAACTGCTCTCTCTGCATTTTAATTGTGTGGGAGTTACACAAGTGTATGTTTGTCAAAATTCACAAAATGTACTCTATGAAAGGTGAATTCTGCCACATATAATTTTAAGTTTTTTAATGAAAAAAAATGACATCTCTTTAAAATTCCTGCCAAAATATAGCTGACAGCACTGATTCTTTAATTTTTTAAATTTCTGGTTCTTGGCTTTAAAATATACCTATCTAGTAGCCAGTGAATAATCAGTATAGCCTTGAAGTTATCTGTAAGACTGATGATTTCTTTCTTAAATCTTGAGGCTACAGTCTTTCCCAATTTAATTCTGCAGTTATTACTTAAGACTTCATTGACTTACTCAACTTTGCACAAGTTAACGATGAGAAACTTGGTCTCCTTTGACTGTCAACTGTACCATCTCCTCCATATACAACCAAACTACACAATCCTTTGCACTGCATGCAGGCAGATATAAAAAACTGTATTTTTATTTTGAACGGTTTTATTTTGAACTATAGAAGAAAAGAGGGCTCTGAGAATTCCGAGGTACCTTGGCAATTACAAATAACATTAGGCACATCAATATATAAGAATTTTTTCTAAAATGCATTTTTTCCCAAACTTTCTCACTCAAAAGCTTAGATTCATCAGGGCATACAATATATAAACTAAGCTTACCTTGCATTCAAGATTTTCCATGATTTGTTGTCAATCTACTATTTCAATAATATTTCTATCATTCTCAGACACAAATTCTCCATTCTGGGAAGGATGGCAGATAATTTCTTTCACACATTTATCCTGGGAATACAATAATATTCAGAGAAAATTTGATGTAACAATTGATTTTAAATTACTTTAAATCATATAGTAATTTAAAATTAATTCAATAACTTCCCAGAAGTTTATTTTGTACTTTGAGAAACTGAGGTAAGGGGCACTAGACTTTGTTCCCTGAGATCTCAGCTGTATTACACTCATCTTCATATCTCCAGAGTTGAATACAGTGCCTGACACATGAAAAACATTAAAATATTAAAATATTTAACTAAATTTCACTTTCTAAGGCCACAAAGAGATGGAATCCTGAAGTTCTGGTCCAATTCTCCCAAGATTAGAACTTTGAAATGTTCTCTAGTTTCTCATATTTGTTCACATATTCTCCCTGAATATACTACAAATATAGCAAACACAAAAGCTGTTCTAGCTCCTCTTTTTAAAGCTCAAAAAGCAATCATCACAGTTGAGTGCATGCATAGTAGGTGGGCAATATTCCTATCAGAGTTCTTAAAAAGCAACATACAGGCAGCTCACAGACACTTCTTCCCTGCCCCATGTAAAAACATGTTAGTTACTCTTCCTATTAGGAAGATTTATTTTTCATCATCTTTGGCACAAATTCTAGAATGCTATATGCCAGGTCCCATGCCCCAATAAATATGCATCCACAAGCAATTATGGAGATAGATAGCTTATTGGGAGGGGGCACTCTTTGGTCAAGTCCCAATGCTAACCTGTGGTTAGGGGGAAAAAAAGAGTAGGGGGAGGGGTGTGGTCCTGTGATTAATCACTGCCCACTCTGCTTAGGGGTATTTATCACAGCCCGCTGTCAGGTAAATCACTGGAAAAACACCTCTTCAGTAATTAATGTGAAGTGACGGATGGACAGCCCCTGGGCCCATTAATCAGGAACATCAGCAGCCTACTGAGATTATGAATGTCAGGATGCATAAACTGCCGGTGGATCAATAGGCCCAGGAATTCATCCAAGGCTCTCATTTCCGAAGTATCTCCGGTACATTAGGCTCCCTCTACCCCTCCCCCAATCTGAAGTGAAAAGCAAGGTTTCAGAACAAAGAGCAGGAGCTGAGGTCTAAAGTGACCACTGAGAGAAAGCAGTCAAGGAAGCTGGCCATGGCTAGGCATGGTCCAGGACAGGTAACACGAGCTATACTGACAAAGAGGCTCTCTCAGAGAAGGCTCAATGTTCCTGCAAAAGAACTAGAAAGACATGGTACACATCCAATTATTCAGAGCCTGATTGTCCATTTTAGAGATCATCAAGAAACTTGGAATTTTTTACCCATTTCCTCATCTACATTTTCTTTCCTTTCATATTAACACCACCAAAGAGTAGAGAGAAATAAGAGAAAAAAAATTCCATTCTTGCAACCTAACACTCCAGGTAAAAATGTTGATTTAAGAGGTAAAACAAGGATTTATAGAAAATAAAATCTGTGAATTACACCTTTGCCTCATCCCTAAGTACCACAATGACGCAATTAAAAGTAGCCAGAGTCTCGAACAAAAAAAAAAGTCCCCACTGAAAGGGTCTGCTCCACTTGTAAAACAGTCTGGAGCTGAGACTATTTCTGTTTACTTGTCATCCCAAGTTTAGTCAAATTTTGTATGGAAAGTAAGCCTGGGCTACAGTCTCATATTGAATACATTCTAGGTTGGCAGTGACGGGAAGGAGACTGCACTTGCTGCCACATCCCGCCAAACCCCAGTGCTGTGCTTTGTGGTCAGACTCAGGCCAGGGCTGCAATTGTTGGTTAGAAAGTATCTCAGAGTTACGGCTGCCTGTTCCGCTAAATCTCATTTCATCCTTCTGATGGATGGATGGACAGATGGCTGCCTGGTGAAAGCAGCATTATCAGCCAGCTTCTATGGAGCCTCTGAATGATGGATAGCCCTCTTTCTACTTTCTCCAAACCACCATCGATCCAAGCCATATTTCAGCGGTCAGAAGCCCAGTAATATTAAGACACACAATCAAGTTAAGTTACTTGCAGTGTAAACCTCTAGAACAGAAATCCTAACACCTCTGCTTTGCTGTCATGAACCACTGCTAAAAATGTTACAGTTTCATTCTTTCTAGCTGCTAACCCAATGAATTCCAACAGCTCAAGCCCAAAAGGAACAGCTGTGCTCCATTCCTAGCAGCTACTTAAAAAGCTAGTTTGCCTGCCAAATTTTTTACTAGCCAGTTCATTTCTGTGAAATGAACTCTGCAGCAGTAGTGAGCAGATCTGTGAATATGTGTATATCCTGTGGAGTGTGAAGCTATTAGAACCATCAAACAACCTAGAGTTTGTCAGTGACATAATCACTGGCCTCAAACATGTGTAGAGCTTTAGACATACTAAACAGACCATCTTTACCAACACCAAGGATAGTGATTAAAACCAGGACAGATTAAAATTATCTTTTGTACATAATCCTAAAATGCTGTTTCTACCCAGTCAGCTTAACTGGCTTCTACCCTCTTGTGTGCATATCAAATGTAATAGTAAGTGCTAATCTTTGCCTGCTTTCACAAGCACAATTCTGTGTCCATTTGCTCTATCACATTCTAGACACTCACCTCAGCTTGTCTGGGTATTTAGACTCCACACTTTTCCTTGCTCCTTCCATGTTATCATCCTGACCTCTTAGATAGCAACTTGGACTTGTATAATTGAATGCTGTGTCAAAGTTATTTCCACTGGTGTGGCTGGAAGAAATGGATTCTGACTCCAGCTTCATGACCACAGATTCCCAGAACCTACCTGCCCTCTTTTGCTTACTTATCTCCAAATGGCTTCTTCTCAAAATGTTTCACTATTAACTATACCCAAAATCAGCTTGGCCTGGCTCCTCTTGAATGAACCGCTGCCATCCTGAGCCTACATTCAGAGAATCAAGTTTGTATTTGTTTATGATGCTAACAGATGTCTCAGTGGAGTAGTAACTGTCTTTCTACTTGCAGTTATGGCAGTTTACTTAATACTTTAATATTTATGCCTTAACAACATCTACAGCTCTGTTTCTATCAAAAAAGAATATGCTATTGCTTAAAGATACTACTTTATTAAAATGTTGCATTAAGAATCCCACTGCCCTTCAAATAAACATTACAGAATTTTTACAGAGTTTTAGAATTAAATTTACTGAAAGGGACTATATAGGTCAGAATTCAACATCCTAGTTTTTCAGAAAAAGACACCGAGAATCCAAGGTTGTAATTTATGTCCATGGTTACACAGATATTAAGTGGCAATGCAAGACTGGAACCTTGGTTACAATTATAAGGGCTGTGCTCATTCTACTATATTTCTCAAACATTCTGTTTTTATCCTTGGAATTTCAGAGAGAATGAGGGCAAGGAGGATTAAGTGTTGTGTGAGTGCCTATGTGTTCCGGGGGAAGGAAGGTGGCCACAAACAATGAAGTTTGGTCACCTATACTATTGTGCTTCCCATCGAGGTTGTCCAAAGGTCATCTGAGAGCCATTCACTATTTTATAGAACAAAACTGGATGAATACCTGACAATTAGATACCTCTACTCCTTTCTCTTCCTTTCTTGAATATCTGCCCCAGTCCTATACAGAAAGTTTTGAAAAGAAAAAACCAGAAAGATATTGAGTGCAAGTAGAAGCAGAGAGCAACAGGCTTTATGACTTAAGCTAAATGAGCAGAGGAGCAATGCGTCCTCTTCATTTCCAAGAATGCCACATTCTGATCAAATACAGAGCACAACTTCACTGACTGGACTTCACCCTCTGGTGGTCAAAATGTGTCACTGCTATATTTCCCAATTTCTAAGCTTACCTCCATAGGGATCTTCAAATCTTATTGCTGAAACCAGGCACAGTGGCTGACGTAGGCAATCCCAGCACTTTGGGAGGCCAAGGTGGGAGTACTGCCTGAAGCTAGGAGTTCAAGACCAATCCGGGCAACATAGCAAGACCCTGTCTCTAAAAAATTTTAAAAAGATAAAAACTTAGCTGGGCATGACAGTGCATACCTGTAACCCTAGCTGCTTGGAAGGCTGAGGCAGGAAGACTGCTTGAGCTCATGAGTTTGAGGCTGCAATAAACTATGATTGTGCCACCATACTCCAGCCTGGGTGACAGAGCAAGACCCAGTCTCAAAACAAACAAACAAAAAGCTTATAGCTGAAAAGAGTCTTCAAAAACCATTTGGTTGAGGGATTTATCTAAGACTATTTGAGTAGTAACTAAGACCAGAACCCAAACTAGCAGTTTTACCACGATTATAGCTGTATTATCAGTTTTCCACTAAGTATATGCTCAGGATATATGCTGAGCAAAGTTTAATTGGGAAGTTAATTGTGCTGAAGAAATAATCACATAATGCACATCAAATCCAAATACATTATCCACACTAATGCTCATTACCATTAAGGATAAATGATCAGGATGACTTTTCCATCCCATTCCCCACAAAAACGTGTCTCATACACTGGGTAAGAGTTCTACTATGACTATTCTTGGCACCAGGGGAAAAAAAAAAAAACTTCTAACAATTCCCCCTCCCCCAAAAAAAGGTTGTGTTAGATGAGTAATAAGGAATAACAACTCTTTAAACTGTTAGCTTTATATATTCCCTAAGCTCAAATAAAGGCTGATTTATTTACATTAAGCAAATATATTTTAGAATAACCAATTCTGTATACTCATCTGCAAAGCTATCTTAAACCAAGACAAAGATTCTTATCTTTCATTTTAGTCTTTTTAGAGTTTCTACTTAGTTAAGAAAGAACTATTAAACCACGCCCAAGAGAATGATGAGATATTTTTCAAAATCTGCTGCAATGAACCATGTCTAATTTTGTTTCATTACAATTTAGGCCCTACAAGCAAAAGTGAAGTGGTGGTGGAGTAGTGCCACTAGCAGTAGTAGAAGAAGAGAAAGAAGAATCATCAGCTACCATTTACTGAGTGCTTACTATGTGACAGGGATTGTGGTAAATGTTGTATATACATTGTATCTTTTGGGTCCAACTACAGTATTA